TATTTATTTATACATTTGGAAAACCAACAGCTATACAATTTGATTAAAAAGAATGTGGTATGCAACAAGAAGCCAATTACTGGTTTCCACGATTAGTAACAGAAAGTAGAAACATGCTAACACAGTACTAAAATTACTCATTAAACTCATTAAACCACAGGCAGTCTATAATGATGCACAAATTACTCCAATGATTAAGTACCATATAGGTACCCACTATGAATTAAAGAAATCAAGGTTCAGCTGCCTGCGTGCCACAGTAAGTTTTGTGTTAAATGGGTCGAATGAAAACTCTTTGCACAGTTTATTGAAATCATTGCTCGCTCGCACAATATACGAATTACTCCGATAGTTGGTTGAGGAAGTAGGTATCGATATCGGTACACTGAACCTAAATGACTTACGGGGAACATTAAAATGAAGTCTTTGCAGTATTTTAGGGCAGTCAATGTCATTAGATAGTATTTTTAACATGAATGAAAAATCCGCCAATCTACGCCTGTTTACAAGGGGTTGCAAGTGAAATCTCTTGCAAAGATTTAGATAGTCAGCACTGTGATAGTCAATTTTCAAGCGATAACATAAAGATTTTACAAACCGCTTCTGGATGTTTTCAATTCGATCGATATAATTATGATAATATGGGTTCCATATCTGAGACGCATATTCGAGGCTACTTCTTACAAATGTGCAGTATAAAATCTTGAATGTCTTTGCCTGTTTAAAACACCCAGATATTCTCATGACAAAACCGAGCGCTTTCGAAGCCTTAGCTATTATTTGATCAATATGGATATCGAACCGAAGTCTTGCATCATGATAAACACCAAGATCTCGCACTCCGTCACACCTTTGCAGAACCTGACCCTTCAGCTCGTATGGATGAATCATCGGGAACCGCTTTCTACTAAAAGTAATCACTGAGCATTTTGCGGGATTCAGGTCAAGTTTATTCAACTGGCAATACTCATCCAGGCGCTTTAAGTCATCCTGGAGAGCCAGCATGTCTTCCACCGATGTTATTTTGGAGTAAATCTTCATGTCGTCGGCAAAAATAAGAAGATTAGAGCTATGGAAGCAGAGGTCAATGTCATTCACGTATAAGATGAAAAGTAGGGGGCCAATTAGAGATCCCTGCGGAACACCGCTTGGAATCTTGACCCAGCTAGATATGTAGTTATTGACTACGACAGATTGAGACCTGTTTTCTAGGTAGGATGCAAACCATCTGAGTAAGTCACCGCATATACCAATACGATATAGCTTAGTTTTAAGGATATTATGGTCAATTCTGTCGAAGGCTTTGCTATAGTCGGTATAAATGACATCAACCTGTGCCCCACCATCCATACTGTCAGTCAAGTAGTCATTTAGTAAGATCAAGTTCGATACTGTGGAGCGACCCTTCAGGAAACCATGTTGCGTGGGACTAAACGAGCTCCTAACAGCAGCGTAAACCTGATCATACACGATTCTCTCAAAAACCTTTGCCAATATGCAAAGTTTGGATATTGGCCTATAGTTAGCTACTTCATTCTTTGAACCCTTCTTATGCACAGGTGTTATATAGGCTGACTTCCAAATCTGAGGAACGACAGATTCAGTCAAAGATCTCTCAAACAGCATTTTTTTTGTCAGCAAACTACAATAGTTGGACATATTCTACCGCGGAGTTTTTTTTTTACATTATGATTTTTTTTAATATTGTTGTACATTATTTTGTTCTATCGCTAATAGTTTCGGCAGCGCATTCGACGAAAGACATTTTAAGACTCATTTTTTTACACCTTCGGTTTTTTTGTTCAAATTTTACCCAAGATCCCTAATGTTTTTCAAAATGAAATGTAGCCTATGTCAAATTGAAAGAATGTAGCTTTCTATTGGTGAAAAACATTTTTTTAAATCGGCCCAGAACTTTTTGAGCCTATTCATTACAAACATACAAACATACAAAAATATGTACAAATCTTTCCTCTTTATAATATTAGTATAGATAAAGAAGAATGTCCAGTGACAAACTGAGTGTTCTTTAGACACAGGAATCAAAATACCTAAAGTGATCGCGATATCTTACCCTATAATTAAGCAAACAATTCACAAAATCACTTATTCCAAATAGGTAGACAGAAACGGCACAGTGCCACCTAGACTCTACAATCATATTCACTCAATACAAAAGAAAAAAATCCTGATATTTTTTAACATCTTTTCCAGTTAAAACGTTTCCCGCGCACGATGAACTACATCCGTCCGAAAGACGACCGGCGGTCTAAGAAACGACAAGAGGTGCGCACGCGCAAGGAAGAGGAGAAGAAAAAGAAGATGGAGGAGATCGCCAGACTAAAGGCGCTCAAGCTGAAAGAGATACAAGAGAAGATTGCCAAGATCAAGGAGGTCACTGGGAATGAAGAACTTGCGTTCAGGGTATGTTAATATTTCTTGTACTTTCGTTCCGTCAAACAAAAAAAAGCTCTATACTATTAATGTAGAGTAAACGTTTGTTACATTTTCGTTCATCTGACGGCACGGTCGGTGCAGTGGCTGGGCAACCGGATTATTCCCGCACGGAACAACTCTTTGTGTGATTTACAAATTGTTGTCCCGGGTTTGGGTGTCATGTATATGTGAACTTGTATGTTTGTAAACGCACCCACGACACAGGAGAAAATCCTAGCGTGTGGGGATCCAACGATTTATAAAAAATATTACAATAATTTTAATTTCACGATTCTAGGCTATTAATACGGTAGTTCTTTTTTCAATGCCTGCCTGCTGACTGCCTCGTTGGTCAAGTGGTCGCAAGTGCGAGGGCAAGAGGTCTCGGGTTCGATTCCCGGGTCGGGCAAAGCATTACTGGAATTTTTCAAAAATTCTCCGTGGTAGCACGGAGTCTGGAAAAAAGGGAAAAAAGGCATGATGTTATGTTATGTATGTCTTTCTTCAATGCATGACTACAGAAGAAACTTGTTCGATTCTTCGATTTAACTATATTTCATTTGACTTAATTTTTTTGGTCTTTGACAAACACTTACCTTTTATCACAGGAAGAGGACTTGGAGAGTGAGTTCGACCCGGAGGAGCACGACAAGCGCATGCGCGAGATATTCGACGAGGAGTACTACGGGGACGCTGACGAACAGAAACCTGTCTTCCCAGACCTCGACGAGGAACTCGAGATTGGTGAGCATACTACCTACTTTACTTTATTATATTGAAAATTAAGTTTATATAGATACTAGTATTCCCAATTTCGAAAGATTTATACTACATTACAATTAAACCTAACATTTCGTAATCTGAAAAGACTGATGACTGCTGATGACGCCAAAGAGGGATGTAAGAATCGTAGCAAATGGTGTTCCATAGTCTCTGCTTAGCCCCATGGGAGACAGGCATGAGGTTATGTATGTATGTATTGTGTAATCTGATAAACTAAATTTATGGTGTTAGTAGGTATTACTAATTATTATAAATATCAAGAAGATTCTGAAGACTGCCTCATTGGCCGAGTGGTCGCAAGTGCGACTGCCGGGCAAGGGGTCTCGGGTTCGATCCTCGGGTCGGGCATAGTATTACTGAGTTTTTGAAAATACTCAGTAGTAGCACGGAGTCTGGAAATGTGTCCGGTATATGGCAATAGGCTCACCCCCTATTACATGGGACTCATAACATAATAGTGAAAAGTGGGTGTTACAGTGGCATTTAGTGCCGTAATGTGCACCTCTGCCTATCCTTTCGGGGATAAAAGGCGTGATGTTATGTATGTATCAAGAAGTTTCGAATTTGTTTAACCTTATTTACGTAACTGTTTCACGAGGATTTTGTAAGTATTGTAAAAACATTGCTTAATATTTAATCGACAGAGAACTGGGAGAAATATCAGCCAGAACAAGAAGATGGCTACGAGGGAGATGACGCTGATGAAAATGGACCGCACTGTGAAGACGAAGATTTTAATGTGAGTGCTACTATACAACTATTTTAATTAGTCTTAACTCCGCCTGTTTAAACAGAAGGATAGAGAATAGAATGGATAAAAATATATTAAAGAAGGGTCAAATTCAAAGTACCCTTAACCAACAAGCATGCATGAAAAGACTGCTGTTGATGAAGCGAAAAATGGATGTAAGAACGCCTGGATAGGCAGATACAGTTAATGTATGTATTTATCATTATCATCTTATTACATCAGCGACCTGTGACAGCCCGCTCCTGGAGTATGGCTCTACACCTGAAAGCCTCGCCATAATGACCATGCTTACCAGGCGGGTCTCAGATCTCTGTTAACTGTGCAGTCCCTTACGCCCAAATACTGAAAGGCTACTCAAATTTAAGTTGTACTTAATATCGTACTATCTCTGTCATTATACAAAAAACTTGTACATAAGCGCGACTTAAAATTGCGTGGCGTTCGAGTAATTAGACATGCGTCTGCTATTGTAATTCATCAACATAGGATTTACCAAATGTGCATGCCATAAAGAGCAGATTTTTCTATAATAAATAATTTCATTCAGATGGACGCCGAGTACGACCCAAAGAAAGCACGCGAGAATCTTCTAGAAGAGGTTAAGAAGACTCTAGGCAAAAAGAGAAGGAACAGGAAGAAGAAGTCTAAATTAGCAGAGTTGCTGTCTTCTGAGAAACCGAAATTTGTGCCCACTGTAGTGGACAAAACATATGACCAGTATATGGAAGAATATTATAAAATGGATTGCGAAGACGTGATTGGCGGAGACCTGCCGACCAGGTTCAAGTACCGGGAAGTCGTGCCATGTGATTATGGACTCACTGTCGAAGAGGTAAAATTGTTTATGTAGATATTTAAAGTAATTCTTTTCATTCTGTGTTCGTTGTAGTACATGTGTAGTTAATGTTAAGTTCCTTTCACAGATTCTGAGTAACATTTATTACGGAGTAACTCTATGTCCGTTACTAGAATCTGTGGTGTTACTAAGAAATAAGAAAATCTAAGAAGAATTGTCATTGACAATTTGTTAGACACAGGAATCCAACACCTCTCAGCAGTCACGCAATGCAATCATTCGACGAATAAAAAACAGTCAATCTTTTTGTAGATCAATCTTGTCTAACTTCGTGTATGGGAAGATTGAATCTGTCTTAATAATATAAATATTGGTTGTTTCTAGATTTTATTGGCTGATGACAAGGAGCTGACTCAGTGGGTGCCTCTAAAGAAGATCTTGAAGCACCGCCCTGAGAACGTGGAGAAGGGAGACGCCAGGAACTACGCGCAGAAGGCAGCTGATGTACGACTCAAGAAGAAAATACTGCCCAGTCTGTTCAAAGACTTGCCAGAGTAAGTGTACTGTTGTAGGCACATACAGAACAATATAGATACATTCAATTGTTTAGAAGGTAAAAGATCTAAGAATAACAAACAAATGCGCTGTGCTACTTTGTATAACAATGTTGCATTTATTTTCAGGGACCCAGAAATAGTAGTACCAATAGAAGAAACGAAAAAGAAAAAAAAGAAGAAGAAGAAAAAGAACAAAGAAGAAAACACCGAAGGTACCAGTACAGAGGCAGCTGAACAAGAGACACCAGCACCTGAGCAAGATGAAGAGGTTGAACATAACGAAGCAAACAACTCACCCAGCCCTAAAAAGAAGAAGAAAGACAAGAACAAAAATAATTCAGTGCAGGAATCAAATGACGAACATAAAGAAGCAAGTCCAGAAGAGAATGGAGAGTTAAAACAAAAAAAAAAGAAGAAGAAACATAAAGAATTTACTGTTGAAACTGTGGAACATGCTGAACCTAGTCAACTGAGTACTGAAAACAATGAAGACGGTAATAAAGAAAAGAACATAGAAAAAGTAAAGAAAAATTTAAAACGTAAAGCTGATTCCAATTCTGGGGAGGCTAGCCAAAAGAAAAATAAAGGCAATAAGAAAGATTTCAAAAAGAATTTGAAACAAAATGATAAGTTCAAGAAGAAGCAAACCAATCAGCCTATGAACCCTCTCACCAACTTATCAGACGAAAGGTTGAAGGCCTACGGGTTGAATCCTAAAAAATATAAAAACTTCATGAAGTTCAAGAAATTTTAGTCAACTGTTACAGAATTTATGGAATTGTATATTTCTTGTATATATAATAAATATATTTTATTTTCATCATTGAGTTTTATCGCAGTCAACGACTCAGAACTATTCAGTTCGAATCAGTACTTCTGGACATTATAGCGGCATTTATTCATACAAACAATTTTTTAGGTTTTTAGTATAGATAGAAAGGTAATCAATATTTATCGAAAATTGACAATTTTCAGCCATCAGCGACACTTGAAATACAAAGATAAAATCGGACAATCAAAAACCGTCCCTTGATACAAGATGTTGAATTTTTCAACGTCCTAACAATATACTATAGTAGTCTTTGCTTTGCTAGGTACTTGATATCGCAAGATAATAGGTACTTGATAGTACTTATTAGGGATGTAAAGAACTAGTTGTATCGGAACCGAATGCGGAATCGGAGTTCTTAAATTTGCTTTATCGTAATCGGAGGCAGGGTCAGAAGTTGTGACATGAGAGAGAATTATTAGGTATTTATAAGCAAATTAAACATTATGTATTTTTTTTTATTTAAAAAACTTTATTGCTACAAACAAGTACATGGGTAGACTTAATGCCACAGGCATTTTCTACCAGTCTGACCCTTGTTTTTATTATTACATTACATTATGTAGTATTTTTTTATACATTTCAGAAATCAATTTGTCAATTTCCATAGATTTAGGATTAGAAGTTTTGTATTATTCGCCAAAGTTTCTTTCAAAGTTATTTCTTTTCTAACATCCTGAAAGGGCGTCGAAGTCGAAGGTTTCTGTGTGCTAATGCACATTACCCAGGCCAGGTGTTGTCGAAAATAGTCATTTGAATCTTATAGATAAATAGTCGCGTGGCTTCAGTAATTGTTGCGCACATTTTTAAATTTGTTTCGCTTATAGTTTCTTAATTATTTCACAAAAACATTTCCTGTTGGAGTAACGTTACCTCAGCCAGACCTTTTTCTTTCTAATGGGAATATTTAAATAATTACTAGCTATAAAATTAGTTGCCTAGATGAAATAAATGTTGTGCCTTGTTTTGTATTTGTTATTTCATCGGTTGCGAAGTTATTCGAGATTTTGCTGAGGTAACGTTTTTGATTTTGCTAGATCTTTTTTTTTTTTTAAACGTTGCCCCACACTAGGATTTTCTCCTGTGTCGTGGGTGCGTTTACAAACATACAAGTTCACATACACATGACACCCAGACCCGGAACAATAATCTGTGGATCACACAACGAGTTGTTCGGGAATCCGTGCGGGAATTGAACCCGCGACACGTTGCGCGGCAATCAGTTGCCCAGCCACCGCGCCAACCGTGCAGTCTACAGTGCTTTGAAATGGTTAAGCGGATTCATATTATATTTTGTACATGGCTTCTTAGTAATTATTTTAAATTGCAATAAAAAAACCAAAATAATACATAGCTTAAAGGTTATTTCATTAAATAGAAAAACACTTCAATTGGTCCCAGCACTCTCAATAAGAGCTCTAAAGACTTACTTTAAACGTTATTTTAAAGCTTGTAAATGCTTTCAAATGTATGTGAAGTTTTATTAGTATTGAACGAGTTATGATGATAGGTATTGAGTTCTTCATGAGCACAGTCTTGATTCGCACGGTGTTATTTGGCCACTGGATTAGATATATGAACTGAATGTGTCAATAACTAGTTGTTTAGTTCAGTTGTATATCAGTAAAATTTCAGCTCAGTACATCGGTTAATTAATGGGATAATACGATTAAAGTCATTAGGAAGTGAAGAACGTGGTAACTCGACCAAGTTTAGGTAGTTGCGAAAACGCAGAACATTATACTATCTTCTGAAATGTTTAGTATAATACACCTTACAATTTCGGTACAGACGCGAGCACTGTTAAATACAGTAATAATATAATAATATTTTTACTATAAAAACATTATTATTATCTTAAACTTAACCTGTCGCAGCACTCATAACAGTCCGTCGGCACAAGCCGACGCGCCCGCCCGGTATCTATGCTTCGAGCTCCGACTAAAATGTGTCGGAACCGAAAGTATAATAATAATCGTAAGTTTCGACTTAACGGAACCGGAATCGAAGCTCCGTAACATCCCTAGTACTTATTACCCGTATAGGTACTCATTGGTATTTATAATTCACTTATAATTACATGCTCTGTGGTAGTAGTGTAGTACTCTTATACATTTTGGTCACTGATTTTGCTATAGTTTGATTATTATTAGAGATGCGCCGAATAGTAGTTCTACCGAATAACCGAATACCGAATACTATTCGGTTCAATCTTTACCGAACCGAATATTCGGCCGAATTATTCGGTTTACCATTTCACTGCACTCCCGCATAAACAGGTTCAAACATGCACGCCACTTGTCGCCGCTGGCAGTTGCGAGCGAGTCGTACCTCGCCGCCCGCCACCCGCGCACACATTGCGCGTCACTTTGCTCTAAAACATTGCACGAGTAAGTTGTTAATAAATTAAAATATAAACTTTTTCGTGTTTGCAATATGAGTGGGCGTAAAAGATCACGTGCTTGGGACTTTTTTGACGAAATGGAAGATGACAAAACCAAAGTTAAGTGCACTTTGTGTAGTTCTGTTATTTCTCGCGGTGGAACAGGGCGCACTGCTTCAACGAGTGGAATGACAAATCATTTGAAGTTGAAGCATAAAGATCAATTGCCAGAAACATCGTCTACTTCTGTGAGCGCTCCTGAACATAGCTTTGACACTTTACCTACAACTTCGAGTGTAAAATCCAATAAACAACAAACTTTAGAGGAGGCTTTTGTTACGAAATGGGATATTAATGATTCTCGAGCAAAAGAAATTCATAATGCCATCGCTGAAATGATCGCAACCGACAATCAACCTATTTCGATTCTGGAAAACAAAGGCTTTGACAGATTATTGCATTTATTGAAGCCTAAATATAAGTTGCCTGGAAGAAAGTATATGAGTGAAGTGGTGATTCCGGCAATTTATGAGAGAGTTAAAAAGTTAATCAAAGATGAAATCTCAAAGGCCAATGCTGTTTCGATTACATCTGATATGTGGACTTGCATGAACAACATGCTTTGCTTTCTAAGCTTTACTGCACACTGGCTTAATGAGGATTTTATTCTTCAACACAGAGTTCTGCAAATGAAACATTTTGTTGGGTCCCATTCAGGTAATCAAATACGTTCTGTATTAGAAGAATTAGCTTCAACTTGGGGCATATCTTCGCTTATCCATGTGATCGTGAGAGATAACGGTCCTAATATGGTAAAAGCCATAAAGGAAAGTGCATTTGAAGGCAAGGGGTGTTTTATACATACATTGCAGTTGGCCATTAAAGCGGCATTAGAGGTTGAAAACGTAAGTGACGCTTTGATCTCCGCTCGAAGAATAGTAACACACTTCAACCACTCCAGCACGGCGCAACAAAAACTAAAAGATATCCAGAAAGAACTTCATCTAACTGAGCATCAGCTTGTCCAGGACGTCACAACTAGGTGGAACAGCACCTATTATATGTTGGAAAGAGTCGTTGAACAAAAACGTGCGATTTCGCTTTATATTTCTGACAATTCTGGCTCAGTTAACATTCGAAATTGTACTGAAAGACAGTGGCAGATTCTCAAAGAATGTTTAATTCTATTAAAACCTTTTGAAGAAATCACCAAAATTACAAGTTCTACATTTTCTACAATTTCAGAAGTGATTCCCCACAGTAACACTCTGATCAAATATTTAACAAAACCCGAAATTTCAGAAATATGTTCAAATATACCAGAAATGGTACAAAAAC